ATGAGAGCCAACTATGAAGCTATGGAGATGGATGCAAAACTTCCAAAGGAGTCTAGGGTGGTTCTTTCAATGGTCTTGGTCATGTGGGCAAACCAAAGCAAAAGAGAAGCAAGCGACCATGCAATTGCAATTCCCGACCTGCACGTTGACGTCATGGTTTTTGGACCATATCTCAAGCTAAAAACATCCAAATTAAGTGATTCTTGCACCATTTGAAAGAAGACTCGAAGATCTACAACTTTCATGAAGACACCGAAGCCTAATTCTGAAGACAAAAGGGTCAAAATTAGCCTGCAAGTCGAAGTTCTGTTGCAGATCAGCGCTCGACGCGTCGAGAATTACTCTCGACGCGTCGAATCCTGGCAGAATGTTTCTGTAATTTCTCCACGCGTCGAGAATTACGCTCCACGCGTCGAGCAGCCCATCTCTGTTTCTTTTGACTGCGTTATAACTCATTTTTTGGAGAGAGGAGTGAGGTTAGAACCCTAGATAGCAAGAACTCGTTTTCCTTTCATTTCCTTAGCTTAGATTAGTCTAGTATTTCATCTCTAACTCTTCTACAAAGCTTGTAATCATGGATTGGAGTGAGATTCAACCACAAAATCTTCATCTTCAATAGAGAAGCTTCTTACTCTTCTTCTTAAGCTTTTGTGCAATGTTTATGATATTTTCTTGTGCTTTGTTGTTATTTATGCTTATGAAGTGTGAGTAGTTCGTTTTTGGGCTTGGATTAGGGTGATATTGCTAACCTAGATGCTAAATAGGTGATCATTGCATAAGGGGGAAGAACCCTAACCTAGGGTTCATTTGTTTGAGTGGGTTTTATGTTTAATCTTGCTAATATTTGGTACGTAACTCTTATTAGCTTGCTTTTGGATAGTTTTTCTCCACAATGAAAGTTGGGGGAAGAATTTAAGCCTCTCCTTTCTCTAAACCCATTTTCTTTCTATGAAAATAGGGAAGAATTGGGGGCCTAAATGCTTATGTGCTTTAAGAGCTAGGAATTGATACACCATGAAAGTGGGGCAATCCTTGCTCTAATCCTTGTTCTTTAGCTTATGAAAATGGCTTTTAGCTAGGATTTTTATGTGCTTTGCCCTTATGTTCCCTTGGTTAATGTTCTCCCCTAATCCCTAAGTTGTTAAAGCATCTAGAAGGCAACATCCCCTAATTTGAGCCCATCTTTTATCATTGTGATTACTTGTGTTTAAATTGCATTGTCTTAACTAGATTTTTAGCCTTTAATTGTTGACATTGCCCAACCATGAATTTGAATTTGCTTGGATTCTTGTGGGTTCCAATACTTTGGTGCCTAGAACTTTAGTTGTCACTCAAGTACGTGCCATAGTCCCAATCCCTTGCGGAACGACAATTTACACCCGTATACTCACCACCTCTTTCCCGTACATCATTGACTGCGAAATATTGCCGGATTTTACATTTTAGGGGCAAAATCGTCATCCCAAGGAAAGATATTCAATATCTAAACAAAAGAAAAATCATGTTAAGAGAAATATAAGAGTTTGGCAATCGTCGATGCTATAAATCTCATAGATCTGTGTCTAGTTTCTGTCCGTCTTCTCAATTATTCTCATCGATCAAACACCTATAGATATGATTTTAGAGTGATTTTGTTTAGATTTGAAGATGTTTCCTTGGGATGACGATTTTACCCCTAAAAATATAAAATCCGGCAATATTTCGTCGTCAATTTGGTTGAAAGGACCAAAATTGATTAAAACAACAAAGTTAGGCACCAAAATTGAAAACTTTTAAAGTTGTGCACCAAAAGTGATAGATCCTCTAAAGTCGTGGGACCAAAACTGAAATTAATTCAATACGGAAACTATCTAAGAAAAAATTTCACAAGTCAAATTGCTTCATTCCAATACAAATGTTATTCTTAGCTTATTGTTATTCATCAAAGAATATTATGAAAAAATTAATTATTTAAAATATTAAAATTATCTCTTATTTCTTTAGTTATTATTTAGTAAATTTGAAAAATATTATTAAATTAGTTATTTAAAATATTCAAGTATGCTCAAATATTCCTTATGGTAAGTTGAAACCATCAACTAATTAAAACATAATATACTTAAAATAAAAAAAAAAATTAGAATTTCAACCCCAACTGAACTAGTCGGGCAGTGAACTTAATTGTAAGTTGTGACCTCATCAACTTCCAGTTCAATCATTATTACATGGACCATGGTCCACGCAGTGATATGGACCACAAATAAAAAAATATATTTTTAATATATTAAAAATACATTATTTGTGTACGTAAAATACATTATTTGAAAGTATATTATTTGAGTACTGAAAGTATATTATTTTATATACTATCAAATAATGTACATTCGGTACACAAATAATGTACTTTTAGTATATTAAAAATGTACTTTATATTCATGGTCCATACAATAATTTGCTTTCCAATTGGGCACCGGTCAATTAACTTATCAGTTGGGCCAGTCAACTAGGACTTGCTTAGATTGGTTTATCTCCTTAGGCACGCAAATTATGCTATGGACTCGTGTCCACAATGCATTGTGGACACGAGTCCAAAACGACGTCGTTTTCAGGGAAAACGTGGCATTCCAGTTTAAAAAAAAAATTGATTTTGTCTCGCCGTTAACAGCGTTATTCGTTTGTGGATTTATGAATGTATAGTTATGGAATTATGAATGTACAGTTATGGAATTATGAACACAGAGCTCTGACATTATGAACTTACAATTATGAACATATAATGATAAAATTATAAACATAGAGCTCTAAAATTGTGAACATAGAGCTTCGAAAATTATGAATTTGCAGTTATTGAATTATGAATGTACAGTTACGAAATTATGAATGTACAGTTATGGAAGTATGAGTGTACAGTTATGCAATTATGAATGTACAGTTATGGAATTATGAACACAGAGCTCTGACATTATGAACTTACAATTATGAACATATAGTAATAAAATTATAAACATATGCTCCTATAACAAAGTGGTCTGAAATTTTTTTTTAAAAAAAATGGTAGAAGATAACGGTGCCACTAACGGCACCGTTACCATGTCCACAATGCATACTGGACACGAGTCCATAGCATAACGATTGCCTCAGGCAAGGATGGACTTCACCTAATGGACACCTTAAGTAACGACCTCTATTTGATAAAATTAAATTATTTATCCACAAATTACATTATATAATTTCATTAAATAATAATCCTATGATAAGACATCTACAAACTATAATTGATTAACATTTTGTAGGGGAAAAAAAAAAGATTTTGTGTGTCTGGTGAGGGTTAAAGAAACACTAACAGGCAGCGTGTACGAGAAGACCTTGTATTGGGTTTTGGCCAGGTCGTTATCTCTAATTAAGCTTAATATATTGTTTTAGTTTTTTAAAGTTTAACTATTCCTATTTGGATTATGTATATAGAAGGGCTACTATTTTGCCCCCAAGTGGCACAATTTCGTGCCTTGATTTCTCACCTTTGACTAAATACGTTACTTCAAAATTGACTAATGTGTAATGAATATATTGAAAATGGGGCAAATTCAACATGGACAAGCAAAGCAAGAAGGACTCAGGTAGACCTAGGCCCCGGGATCAACCCGTGCTTGACCCGGGTTGCCTAAGCCCTGGTCGGACCCCTTGGGCCTCAGCCATGGCCATGGTACTCGGCTTGGGCTTTGGCCCAAGCCTTGGCCAAGCCCTAGGCAGGTCTCGGCTAGGGGCCTCGGCCGGCTAGCCTGGAGGCCCGGTCAGGAAATCGGGCGTGGTCAAAGGTTGTTGCAACAGTCCCTTCCTTTTTAGAAGGGGTGGGTGGGGGGGGGGGGGGAGGAGGGAGGGGTTAGGAGGCTTTAGTATAAATAGACTATTAAGATATGTTCTCTTGTCTAAACAACTATTGTAATAGTATTACACCTACGTTGTAACCGTCTTACTATCAATACAAGATTATCTCCGCGATATACATCCTTGCCTTTTTCATATTTTTATATCGTTTTTTTTGCCATTTACCGTATTGACCTTATTCTTTTATTATCAGGATTGTTAATTCGGATCACCCGAATTAATTAAATCCATCATTGACCATCAACAATTTTTTATTTTTTTTACAATTCAAATTTTCCGGTCGGGACTACATCTTGAACTCACCCCAGACACATGAAAGAAAAAAATTGAACCAATCTAGTTTCGAGAAGCTATACCAAACTGTACACTTTTGACACAAAAAGCATATTCCAAACCTCCATACTGCTAGAAACAACCGTTACGTGAGACTTCTCGTATGTTGGGTGCATCCTCGAACCCACTACCTCCCACTTAGAAGAGCAACTTGGTACCAGTGAATCACAAAATCCTTAATTGGTAGTTATTATATAATTTAAAAGTAATATAAAATTGACATAATATTTGAAGAATACTTATATTCCCATGTAAAAGGATGGGTAAACAGAAGATGGTCAACTTTTGGGTGAAAGGTCGTATGCACCCTTGGAAGTAGTAAACTCTATGAAACCTTAGACGTCACGGCAAACTAACCCAGTCAGACACCAAACCAAGCATTGAGCAGGAGAATATGTCATCTTTAAAGAATATCATTTTCAGTTGTATGAAACAAAAAAAGAATGTTTCCTTGTCCCCTATTACAACATACACAAAACAACAACACCAAAAAATCACTAAAAAAATTTTGAATCATAGATAACATTAATATTGGGATGTTTGGTAAATAACTATTAGCTTATAGCTCTTAGTTAATTGAGTTAGTGTGTTTGATTAGTTGTTAGCATTAACTGATTGTAGAAAAGTGTTTGATAAATTAGTTGTTAGCTGATAATTGATTACATACAAAATGACTTTTTTCAAAAAGTTGATCGAAAAACTTTTTGAATTTTAACATTTTAGAATAATAAGTTGTTACAAAAAGCTAAAAGGCTAACTAATCAAACACTCGTATTGATTGTATAACAGAATTGTCTGATAAACTAACTATGTTACCAAACAGACCTATATATACAACTCCCAACATATATAAATACACCCTCAAATCTCAATTATATACTCCAACAACTCTTCTCTTCTTCACTTGCTCAACTCAGTGATCATATCATACATTGCTGTCAATATAATGGAAATTCACTTCCAGCAGCAACATGAAGATGAGATTTTCTCATCATTACAGAAAGTAACCAAATCCATCGAAAGCGGGTGGAACAAACAACGCCACGGCAAGAACAAGGGCAAGAAGAAATTTGTTGGGGTGAGGCAGAGGGCTTCGGGGAGATGGGTGGCGGAGATCAAAGACACGACACAGAAGATCAGGATGTGGCTAGGGACTTATGACAGCGCAGAAGAAGCTGCACGCGCCTATGATGAGGCTGCCTTCCTTCTCCGCGCTTCAAGAAGCACTCGCACAAACTTTGAAACCATTGCCCCACCAGACTCGGACTCTCCTTTGGCCTCCAGGATCAGAAGCCTTCTTAGCAGCAAGAAGAGTAGTGCAAAGCTGCAGAGAATTGGACAGTTTTCTTCCTCCTCCTCCTCTACAACAGCAGCTACAGAAAATCAAGACACAAAAATTTCATCATCAGATGAGGCTTTGGACTTTGGCTATGATGATGAGATTCGAGAAAGCGATCATAACACTTACAAACCTGATGCTACTTCTTCTTCTATGAGTTTGCTGCAGTCATGGAGTTTTGAACAAGGACTGGAATTTGCTCAACAAATGATTGATATACCCAATACAGAAGGTGAAGTAATAGTGGGATTCTCAGAATTTGAAAGAATGAAAGTTGAAAGATCAATTTCAGCTTCTCTATATGCAGTGCACGGTGTGCACGAGTATATGCAAGCTATGGCTATCAATCATCCCTCCCAAACCCAAACTCTTTGGGATCTCCCACCTTTCTTCTCCTAAACTTATATTATTTCACTATCACTTTCTACTTAGCTTCTCTTGTTTAAAACACCTCAAGAAACATTGACCTTGTTTGGTAATATACTTAACTTATCAGTCAATTTTGACTTGGTTAAACATCCAATATAAGTGTTTGATTAATTAGCTTTTTGTAACAGCTTATTATTACAAAACGCTAAATTCAAAAAACTGCTCAAAATAACTTTTTTGATAAGTTTTTTGTGGATATCCTAATTTATCAAACATCTTTCTACAATTAGTAAGCTAATGCTATCAACTAATCAAACTCACTAATCCAATCAGCTAACAGCTATAAGCTAATTACCAAACACCCTCATTATCTGTACTACTTTACAATTGGTTCTTATATGTAAACAAAAACAAACTTCAGTGACAACTTCGAGGTAACCTGAATTAAAAACATGTGTGAATCCAGTAAACCGATCGGAAAGATGTGAAGAAAATAAAAATTAAAAGGAAAATGTAAAGAGACGAAGAAGCATTCATAAAGTCATTTAATTACTAATACGAACCATCATGGTAATTCAAATCATGGTAATTCAAATTGACTACTGGAACACACAAGAATACAAGTATGAATACAAGGATATACCGAGTAATAATTTGCAACATGGTACAATAGACAAGACAGATTTGTTGTTGTCACTGTCCTCGACTTGCAATACTTTAGTAGTCTTCCCCTTCTTCTTCTTCATCGACACCCTCTGCTCCAACTTCCTCGTAGTCCTTCTCAAGGGCAGCAAGATCTTCACGGGCTTCTGAGAACTCGCCTTCCTCCATACCCTCACCCACATACCAATGGACAAAGGCACGCTTGGAATACATAAGGTCAAATTTGTGGTCAATTCGGGAGAAGACCTCAGCCACAGCAGTGTTGTTGCTGATCATGCACACTGCACGCTGCACACGGGCAAGGTCACCTCCAGGAACCACTGTCGGGGGCTGATAGTTGATGCCACACTTGAAACCCGTAGGGCACCTGAAGAGTCCATATCAATTCACATGACACCTCAAATTTAACGGTTCCGTGACTGTGAGATTCATTCAGAATAGAATATAAACTTACCAATCAACAAACTGAACAGTCCTCTTTGTCTTAATGGTAGCAACAGCAGAATTGACATCCTTTGGGACAACATCTCCACGGTACATCAAACAACATGCCATGTATTTACCATGTCTTGGATCACACTTTGCCATCATGCTTGACGGTTCAAAAACAGCATTCGTAATCTCAGGAACAGACAACTGTTCGTGATAAGCCTTGGCAGACGAGATAACAGGAGCATAAGAAGAAAGCATGAAATGGATACGTGGATAAGGTACAAGGTTAGTTTGGAACTCGGTGATGTCAACATTAATGGCTCCATCAAACCTCAAAGAAGTTGTCAAAGATGAGATGATTTGAGAAATTAAACGGTTCAGGTTTGTGTAAGTTGGCCTTTCAATGTCTAGGGCTCTCCTGCATATGTCATATATTGCTTCATTGTCCAAAAGCACAACAACATCTGTGTGTTCTAGGAGGGAATGAGTAGATAAGACGCTGTTGTATGGCTCAACAACGGCAGTTGATACCTGCATGTTCAGAATACATAACCAACTTTAAAACTCTAAGAAGACAGCTGATTGAGTTTAGAGGAATAAAAATAATTAAACTTGTAGATTGATAATAATTCCTAGAAGATGTTAACTAAGCAGGAAATATAAGCCTTAGCCAGGCATCCAATGTTCCAGTGCCCTCTTTTCTTTACCTAGTCAGAATGAACCTTTTGATTGTTCTCAAATAAATTTATCTTTTTCTGATATTTTAATTTTCATATTTTTAATTTATTTGGAATTGAGACTCTTTTCCCAACCAGATGGAATCGGGTAATCTTTATAAGTAATTTAGTGAATTTTCCAAACTTAATCCTTTGTTAAAAGAGCATACATAATCTCATAATTCACAAAATCATGGCTAAGACTACCTGCGGAGATGGAAATATGGTAAATCCGAGTTTTGATTTCTTTCCATAATCTACAGACAAACGCTCCAGAAGCAAGGATCCTAAACCAGAACCTGTGCCACCACCAACAGCATTAAAGACCAGGAATCCTTGCAAACCAGTGCAATTGTCAGCTAATTTTCTCACTCTATCAAGGCACAGATCAACAATATCTTTCCCCACTGCAAAGCATATCAAACAAAAACAAGTCAAAATTTCAACCCAAAAATAAAAAATTAAAAAAAATTAAAAATTAATCACATTCTTTATCTACAGAAATAGAAAGGTACCTGTATAATGTCCTCTCGCAAAGTTGTTGGCTGCATCCTCCTTACCAGATATAAGTTGCTCGGGATGAAACAGTTGTCTGTATGCCCCACTTCTCACTTCATCCACAACAGTAGGCTCAAGATCAACAAATACAGCTCTAGGCACATGTTTGCCTGAACCAGTTTCACTAAAGAAGGTGTTGAAAGAATCATTTGCAATACCAACTGATGTGTCACTGCAAGCAAAAAAGTAAAGGTAATAATCATAATCCATTATAAGTTTTACACAATGCCTGACAAAATGCAAGATTAAATAGAAAATAAGTGAGAGAACAAAATTAGTGAGAAGACAGCAATTGTCAGTGAGAATTTCCTATTTCCATATCCAAAATTGAACTATATTTCCATATCCAAAATATGATTTCCAAATTGAACATGATAAGAACATACTCGTAGACTTATAGACTCATAGTTGATTATTCTTCCCTTTTATATTTCAATATCAGGTCCAAACTCCAAATGCATGCCCAGGAACACAGTTATGCATAAGTATATTCCTCATTTGATATGCAAATTACTCTTGAAAATTGTAAGAAATGAACACCACTAAATAATTATTCATAATATATCCTATATTCAAATGCCACAACCGAGAATATCCATGAATTAACCAACCTTGCCACAATGAGTTAATTTCAATTTGGGCTCTATTTATAGTGACAATTGCAGATATAATTCATGACTTTTAATTTTGACATATTTAGTCCTCTATCTTCAAAATTTTTCCACATTCAGTCCGAAACACCACCACTTGCAAAATGGTGGAGTTTGGAGAAATGTCCACAAAGTGAGGGAATTTAAGACATTTTAACTAAATGTGGAACAATTTTGCATGTAGAGGAATATTTGTGTCAAAATTGAAAGTTTGGAATAGATCTAAAATTGTCACAGTACTTGAGAGAGAAAAAATGGAATCATTCCTTATTAAATATTAATCAATAGCTAGACAAGTTCAATTATTAAATGAAGCCAATTGTACATTACTTTGAGAAGGAAAAAAAAAAAAAAATAGGTGAGCAATTAAATTAATGAATTTTATTCTAAACCAATCATTTCCTAAAAATCAAAATGTACAAAACAATAAGACAATAATGCACCAACAGGTCACATCACAAACTAAGTACCGCAATATAACCAAAATTAAAAGCCAGACAAGCAACTAAAGAAGTATATCTGCAATTCATCATCCTCCAGATTCCAGAAAAGGAAAACAAAAAAAGCAGGAAAACATGAAATAATACGGAGTACAAGACACTTTCCAATCAAATAATTTTTTTTTAGAGTTGTAGACTACCAATCCGACGAAAATTCACAAAATGAAAACGCAATTTGGTAAAATTGGAACCCAAAAAAAAAAAAAAAAAAAAGGAGAGGAAAAGTTAAAATCACCTAGGCATCATGCCGTCGGGTTGAATGCCATGCTCAAGGCAATAGAGCTCCCAGCAGGCATTGCCGACCTGAATTCCGGCCTGGCCGATATGTACGCTGATGATCTCTCTCATCTCTCTCTCTCTCTCTCTCTTTCTGCTGAGACCGAATTTGCAGACGGATCGAGAGAGATTTGGATACTGGATAGATACTATAAGTCTATAATATATCTTTAAACCAAAAAAAAAAAGGAAAATTGGTAATTATTTATCACGTGGCTGTGCCTATGAAGTGTTTATGAACTGAATTTGATATGAATCTGGAGTCCGGAGATGGTATCAGGGGGTCCACCAGCTTTTAATTGGGTCGATACAGCTGGAAATAGTTGTCCATAATCCATAGCCCACCTGTTTGGCCCGATTAATGAAATGGACCGAGCCGGACACCACGTGATGCAATTGTTATACCATGGATAAGGAATCATATTATATTGTGATCTTTAATTTAATCTAAAAATTATGTAACTACATTTAACAATTTTCCACATACAGTTAACAATTTTTATATCTGTAAATAAATTGAAAGCACATCACATAGTACTTAAAGACATATAACCTGATAACTACAGACACATAAATTGTTAATTGTAAATATAGAATATGTTAACTGCAGACATATAACATGTTAATTTAACAATTTATATGTCTGTAGTTATCATTATATGTGTCTTTAATTACTACGTGATGTGCTTTCAATATGTTTACAGATATAAAAATAATTAACTACAGATACATAATGCCTTAACTACATATATATAATCTAAAGATTATTTTAAGATAAAAATTCACAATATAAGATAAACTCGGGTCCATAGGATAATTTGACCACATGATGAACCAGGACCACCCAACCTGCTGCTTTTAGACGGCAGATATTTATATTTGTGGGACTTTGTTGTAGTTTTCACTTCCATGTTCTATTCTCCATTTGTCTCACGTTGAGTATAAACTTTTTCTATATTATATTATATATATTACTCTTTGAAAAGAATATTTGTTAATGTAATATATTATAATTAGTTAATTATAAAATTATTATTTTTAGCGATAATTGCATTTTTTGTCCCTAAGTTATTGGGTAATTGTAGAATTCGTCCCTGAGTGTTGGTCATGGTCACTTTTCGTCCCTAAATTATCATTGTCGTTGCACTTTTCGTCCCTGAGTGTTGGCCATGCTCACTTTTCGTCCCTAAGTTATCATTGGCGTTGCACTTTTCGTCCCTGAGTTATACTAAAATTGTAAATTTCGTCCCTAATCAGTAATCACTATTACACAAATGGTATACTACGCCACTTAATAGACGACGATTTTTTAAATAATCGCCGTATATATCTTAATTAATTTTTTTTACGTCATACACTTTAAATAACCATCGGGGTTATTTATTTATTTATTTTTACACATACACAACAGTTTTCGAAGTGTTGCGCATGTAAGTGACTGCTGTTGTAAATATACACTTTCTACGGCAGTTTCGGAAATCGCCGTGTATGCTAATTATATACGGCGGTTAAACAACCGCCATGTGTCAACTATATACGACAGTTATTTAAACAACCGACATTTATTAAGTGACATAATATAACACAATATATTAGACGGCGGTTATTTAAAAAAATCGCCGTCTATTAAGT